ACACACTCTCTCTCTCTCTCTCTCCCTCCCTCTCTTCCGCGAACACTGAGGAACTTATTATTGTTAAATGTTATCCCATGAGGCAGCATTCGCTTGCTTACACGACGATAATTTCAACAGACGCGGCGCACGTCGGGAAATTTGAAAGTTGATTACTGCTTATCATGCGCTGAATATTCATAACCAAATAAAGCGAAGTTGATATTATAGCAAAGCGTACAGGCAAAGGGTATAGTTTTCCTTCCGCGTCCATGCAATTCAGCGTGTCGGGTCATCGCGGATGCGCGCGGAAAACGCGAGGGCGGAACAGGATGACGTGCATCGCGGAAACAAGAGTGCATTTGATCCTGCTGCATATGCATACGACATATTTCGAATATGCAAATCTACGGCGCCGGCAATTTTCTTCTCCTGATCGATGTTTCACAAAGCATCCCAAATGGCGTCTCATCATTCATCGCTATCGAATGATCCTTCGTCGCACGCAACGTTTGCGAGGCAGCGCGCGTAAAAAAACTCTGTATGCAAAATGACAATGCGCGATGCGTAAAACGTTGAAAATAGCTGTTGATGCTATCTCGCAGCTTACAACATCGTTCCCCCAGTTTAATTTCGGCCGTTATCTCTATGCATAGCTGATACACTCTCTGCCAGAGAGGACGACGGGATGCCATGAAATTTAACCTGCGATATATAAAAAAAAAATCGAAACTACTTTCGCGGTAATAATATCCGATAAAACGCTCTAACGCATTGAAAAAAAAAATGGAACGGATCAAAACACGCGGTTTATTTTTGCATGAAACTTGAAGCCAATTGAAAACGTCGAATTTTTGATGTAATATTTTGACTGGAGAAACATCAGTTTCTCCCGTTATAGTTATAGTTGTTGAAAGTTCGATAAAAATAACATTGTCGGACAATTTTTATATGTAACACGATAAAAGCGGAATTAGCTCTGCATTAAAATAGGTATTGCAGCGACGTAATGGATGCGGTGAAGTATTTAATTGCGAGACTGGAGAAATTCGAAGAGAGCGAGAGAGAAGGAGAAGCCGCACGGCTGCAGGGAATCTAACGTGGCCGAAATATTTATGCATGGATCACGACCGAACGCGTACTTTCGCGCTGTCCCTTTTACTTGCCGGTCGCGATATTCCCTCTGAAAGGATCCTGCAAAGCAAACGGGACTCGTCTCCATGCAAATGCGCCGCGGACCGGAGGACGCGCAGAGGTAGGGAGCAGAAACGATAATAACGCGAGGTAAAAACAACTACAGCGCAACTCTTCCGGTTGCAAGGGTTCGGAAGATGTTGCACGCCTGCAACGAGACGAATAAATGGGGACAAATCGGAACGAGCAAAAAAAAAAGGATTTCCACGGAAAGATCGTTTAAGCGTGTATTTCACGGATTAACGATTATACGAGAATTCGTGCAAATGCAGCGAATCTATCTCTCTATATGTACTTTGCTCCATATTTCGCTGCATCCCGGCATATCCTAAAAGTAGCGCTACACGCTATGACAATATACCGTAATATTTAATACAAACAATAAGCTATTCTATACGCTAAATACATGCACTGAAATGTGTACACATTTATCCTGTTTTAATTCAATTAGTAATAATTATTTGTATCCTGGTAATGTATTACCACTTATAATTTACTGCATATTATCAGTAAACAACTGATTACCCGTAATTAATTACAATTGCTTTAAATTGATAGTAATCCTCACCGAATCATTTGTTCCGATAGATAAATTCATAAAATACGTAATTAAAGACAAAACGTATATATTATAATATAAAGATACGTGTAAACAGCATGCAAATTTTATTTAGTAACTCAATTAATTTTACAGAGGTATAAATGCTCGGAAGTTCGATAAATAGGCCGCGGTCTAATTTAATTCGAAAATTATTCGCTCGTAGAAGCGAAACAACGAGAGCCAGCAAATACCGAAATTTCCCGGTTCAAAATATCGATACGTGCGATTTTATTAGATTAAATTAACGTAGTATCGCCATTACTCCAATCAATGTCGCGCTTAAAATTGCCGGCAAATGACATCGAACGGTCGGATGGAAAAGTTATTCTTGCAAATGGCAGGCTTCATTCGATTGTAACGGGAAATATCCATTATTTTTATTTCTCGGCACACAGGGAAATCTATATCGCGCGCAACCACCCACTATATCGCCGAATCGAAATGGTGAAAGACGCGAATCCGAGCTCAGCTACTTCCGGATCAATTTTGATTCAATAGAACCGGGATCCAGCAGCGTGGCAACCGAAGGCGAAGGGACAACTGAAAGGGGGCTTCCTGTAAAGGACGGGCGAGATGGTCGACTCGTGGCTGCATAAAACCGCAATGAAATGCAAACGAGTCGTTGCAAAACGACACGCAAAAACGCGGCTTCCCTTTGGTTTTACGATGCGGCACGTAGATACGCCACGACGAAAGATCCCCGCATTAAATTCGCCGCCGTCTTCGGGATCCGACGAAATCGTTAAGGATCTCCCGTCCTGAGTCTCGGCCGCGGTATAACTTTCGGGGAAAACCCGACAAGACAAGAGAGAACGGCGGAGTTTACTCCGTTATTTCGGGTTAAATCGCCTCCGGAGATCGACGCTAAACAGAGTTGCCGGACAATGCTCTATAACGATCGTCTGTGAGGGAAAAATGTTAACAGAGAACTCCCGATGAAACCAGGACAGTCTAACAACACGGAAAATTGCAATTACAATTATTTTTACGGGTTAAAATTAATTTTCATACGTATCGAGAATTTATATGTATAATACTATACATATATTTACGTTTCAAAATTAAATCATACTTTACTGTTATAACATTTATATAACTTATATATTTATACAACAATCATTTATGTTTTCATTGGATCATTTCTATTTTTCTTGTTTCTATTTGTTTAAAAATTGACAAATATTTCTCAAAACAATTTTTTATCTTAATAAATTTTGGCAGTTGAAATTTAAAACGTGATAAAAATAAATGAAAAAGTTATTGCGATTTTTCCCGTGGAAATTTCCTATATTTTAATCAAATAAAACTTTTTTTGTGCGAACCTAGTATTTTCCGGATAACACGTCAAAAAATGCATTAAAAAGCATTATAATTAAATCAAGTCTAATTAATATAGAAAAATTATATTACCATGTTTCATGTTATAACTTATAGTTGTAGATAACTTACAGTTAATAATGCATATTTTTTTTATATTTAATCGCCAAAACACTTTCGAACACGTATTGCAAACTTAAAAATTCTTTAGGGATTGAGCCAGAACTCCATTAGTTATGTCAAAATTTTGAAAACGAGTTGCTAACCTCACAGGTCATTTCACGTGTCGGAATCTAATACCAAGGCCACGTAATGGCCTGTACGTTTTGTGCGACATGTGACAGGTGGAAAGAACGCGTTCTCGCCATTCGATGCGACATTTGGTAACTTCTTTCATCGGCGCGCGAACCGTACCCTCCATCAAAAACATTTCTCAAACCAGGAACAATTCCATTCCGGAGCGCGAATCCGAGCGTACGTCATAGTCAAACAAGAAGCATAAACCAGCGGGAGAGCGGACTAGAAAAAGAAGGAAAAGATGGAAAATAGAGAGAGAAAGAGAGAGAGAGGGGAGGGAGGGTAAGAGGGATGTGACGGAGAAATTGCTGCCAACGGAAGTGCGCGTCGACGCGGACGAGATTTCGATCCCGAAATACCGAAGGTATTTCCCCGGGCGGTACCCTGCTGCAGTAGGAAAATGAAGTAGGCCAGCCAATTGTCCGAGGACGAGTCGGATTTCGTAGAAAACTCTAATGCTACGGAAAACTTTGCGATTCAATAATATAACACAGACTAATACAAGCATTGAAGAAGAATCGAAAAAGAAGACAGGCTTAGGATGTTAGAAAATAAAAGTTATTACTTTAATACAGTTATTAGTTTAATGGGAATTACTAATTTAAATAATATGGACGTAGACATTTGCATATCAAATCTTTCTAGCAAAACGCGTTAAAATTTAAAAATTACCATCTTTCAATATAATTTAGCTCTATTCGGAGAGAGACAACAAATTCAGAGAGAGTTACAAATCTACAAATGGAAACCATTGTTTCCATCGGAAAGTTCGTTGTTTATTTTATGTGACGAATATAGATTTATTCGAGATTAGAAATAACGGTATACCAAATCTCATTTAAAACATTGGAGTATCTAAAACGGGCTCGCACAGTGATGCAAAATCAGATGCCTGGACACAGGAAGTGCACGGCGAATACTCTGTATAGTAGGAGATAAGCTGGTTTACCAGCCTTTCGATCGCTAACGTGCCCGCAAATGGAACAAGAGCGAGGATTTTGAAACTTCCACGATGTTTCTCCGGACGAAAGCAAGCAAAACGCATCGTACCGTAATACCGTGAGATTTACTATCGACCGGATTTAAATTGTCAGAGAAAATATTTTATAATGAAAATAATAAGCACATCGTGTTCTACAAATATCATGTTCACCGCTTCTGAACTTATTTTAAATTATTTATTTTGAAAAAATATTTTAAATGTGGTTTATGTCGGATAAATAATTAATTACTAAACTTACTAGATTACTTTAATTATAAACGTTATTATTATACCACAAGTGATTCAAATTTCTCATTTGTTTTATCGTGAAGAAATTATTTTATCAATTTGGAATCCATTTTTTTTATCATTATGTAATTACGTATGTTAACATGTCGGTGGTTTGACGATCGTCTAAGAAATGCTTCGATCAAATAATTTTGCCGACAAATCCGAGAATCAGAAGCGCGACGAAATTCAAATGACGCTCCAATCATTTTTGGTTAATTAACCGGTCAAGGAACTCGGATACATGATGTGGAATGCAGTTATCGGAAAGTTCAATATTGGCTTCCGACAGCGAGGTGAATATTCAATGGAGACGAATGTCGGCGCGAACGAAGCCGCCGAGGGAACTTCTGAAGTCGGTTCGCCAGGACGACCCGGTACGGTACAATGTTCGCCTGATTGTCAATTTGTATTCGAGAACTGTCACGCCGTCATCCCGATACTCGTTATCAGCGTTACCAACGTTCTTGCGTAATATCTGTCCTCGCGTATATATTAAAACCATCGAAGTTTTCATCGAGAGAGCGATCGCGGCATTTTCTCGGTTTTCCAACATGTCAATGGATCTGCCACAACATGCATTACTCGATATGATTACGGCTGACATGACTATATACATGTAAAAAGTAAAAATATCAATTCGTTTCTCTTGGTAATGTCAGATACTGATTTTACGGAATTAAAGTCTGTTATATCCATTACAGAACGACAACGTTGCGACAACAGCGATATTACTGCAACGCCAAATAATTCTTTCCCGTACAGCTTCACATCCGTGTTTAATCGGAAAAAGTCACTCTCGGCTTAAAACTTTATTCGAAAATCTTGTTGAAAATTTTTTATTAAATTTTACAAATCTTTACAATACCGGACGTTGACGCGGCGCCTGTCTCATTGCGCAAGCCGCACAAAATGATAACGAAAGCGAATACAAGAGACAGCGTGCGGAAACTGAACGACGACGGTTACGACTATCAGGAGAATGCTTCGATATTGGCTGCTAGCCCATTCCGATCCGAATATCCACTAGAGACGAGTGTCCGCGCGGATCTGCGAGGTAAAGCGAACGAAGGGGGTGGATATTAGAATAGGAGAATAGGAAGAGAGAAAGGAAGAGAGAGATAGAGATGGAAAGAGAATTTATCGAGAACTGGTTTATTAGCCATTAGGGAAGGACCACCTCGTGGAATATTGCCTCGGCACCGCCGCATATCGGCACGAGTGCCGATTGCAGTCGCACGACGCTGCAAGCTGCAACCTGCTGCAGCCTGTGTCCGAAGGGCGGAAAATTGAAATTGAGCCTCCAATGCATCGCCGCGCAACGCGGTCGAATATATTCGCAGCATCAGCAGATTCGTCGTCTCTTATACCCGGCGAAATGTTTTATTTCGTATAATTCCACGTGATAAAATGACTTTTTCCTCTCCACCGATAATATCACGAAATTTTACGTGCTTCAAGTGTCTCTACAGAAACTTTGCTTACACGTACACATTCATGTGTATGTATTAGATTTATCTTGACTATTTATTATCGAAAGTAAAGAAAAAATATATAGCATTATCATCGGTATTTTAAATAAAAGTTTAACTATTATTTATTACGGAATTTTTTTTTTACGGAAATACTATTTGTCCAATTAAAAATCCCTTCGGAATCTTTAAAGAGATCTTACGCTCCTCTGTGAAATCATGAAAATCGTAAGTACGTGTTTTAATCAAGTAACAGCTCTATAATCTTACACTTTTTCAATCTGAAAACTATAAACGTAAAGTCTAAAGAGCTATACAAATCTCCGAGAGGAAACGCCTAGCGACTGAAACCGTACGAACACGTAGATATCCGCAGACGTGGATTAAGCCTTTAAAGCATTTTATTACGCGGACATAAATTCCCTCTCGGAACAGAGCCATTGTTGTAGGAAATGTGTGACGAGGAAGGAACGCCGAAAGCGCAGAAAAGCAGGAACGACAGAATCAATATTGGTCGCTCCTGATATTTGTTTGGGATGCGACTGGGAACCGGATTGCGCGTCGGAATCCGGCAACACAGAATGAAAAGGACACAATCTCAATCGATTCGGGACAGGGATCCTTTCGTCTAATCGAAAACGTCGACGTTCTCCGGCCATGAGGTACCAATATTGAGAAACTGAGTGCCGAATAACTGCACAACGGGAAAGAAATATCTCAATCGTATTACATATTATATATACATTTATATGATAAAGTACCTTAGACGCAGGCACCCTTTTTCGAGCCAGACATACTTTGGAATGCCTACATTTGTATCTATAGTGGCGGTCGTAAATTTTGTACGAGCAAATTGCCATATGACCACACACATACAATGAAAAATAGCAAATTAGATGGGATTGTATCAAGAAAGCAAATATAATTTGGAAAGGTAGAAAAAATTTGGAATATCTACACTTTAAATGTCTATTAAGCTTGTCGCGGCTCACTTTAACGCAATCAACATGGAATATGTGATAGAAATTTACTGCTTTTGGTTATATTATACTAATGAGTTGCCGTCTATTCCCTCGAATATACCTCGCTGTAAAAGCACATTTCGTCAAAAACAGTTGCCGTGCCAAATTCGAGCGGAATACGTGCTTGTTCCTACGTGTTGAAAATGAAGGAGCTTTTACATCACCGGTAATATACCTCGATGTCCTTGCCGGGAAATACACGCAATCCGTAACAAAGAAACTGCCAAAGTGGGTTAGTGAAACGAGCGGGGAAACAAGGAGCTACCAGCCGCGCTGAGAATGGGCGGAATTGATAGCGATCTTAATTAAAATTAGGGGGTTACCGGACCCGGTGCGGCGTCGCGTAACGCTTTCGTGAATCACCTCGGTCGTCGTCCCCCCCTCCTACCCGCCCTCCTTCCGGGTTCGCGTCGTTCCCGATTTGCATAACAGTAAAGATTCCGGGGATCACACTTTATATACCGAGAGATGCGTTATGCGCGGCCGTTACTTAGACAATTTCATTAACGCAATGTCCACCGTTCGCGAATCTGATCAACTTCCGGCGCAACCTACCCCGAGATTAAACGTTGCACTGTCGCACAATCCTTTGAAAGTTTCACTTTCTTCATATTCGGCATCATAAATATCTCAATTTACTCATTAAATGCATTTTTGGAGATATTTTCTGAAAGATTACATTACACCTTTACATGATTACTTATAGTGTAGAAAAATATGCAATAATAAATGATTAACTGATTAACGATAATTAATGTGTGTGGCTCAAAAAAGAAAAAAAATGAAAAAAGAAAAAAATATGGAATATTTTTCTCTTTCCATATTTTTCTAATATTTTTCTTTTTCTTCTTTATTCCATATTTTTCTCTTGGCTCATTTAAAAGACTTAACAGTATTTGTCATTCTAATTAATTGAATGGACAATTTTTTATTAATTAGCATAATAACATTTTCGAATACTGCAGCGTTTAATATTTCATTGTTTCACGTCTCGGTTCAGGAACCTCGGGCGTATCTTTGTAATAGGAGGCAATATCGAGGACAAGTTTTAGCGTAAGACGTCTACGGAATGAATTTATAGCTGTGCTATCGGCACTTCTCCAGCTGCTTTTGATTCGCCGTAATTAGTAAAGTGCCACGGAACGTATTTCAGCGAATCCCAGAAATACTTATGGCTCAAGGAGGTTTCTAGACTAACGTCTTTTCCGTCTGTAGATGGTAACATCGATATGCAGCAACTTTCTTTACGCTTTCTACGTAGTTTCGCATATTTGCCTATTCTTCGACAAGAGAATAGAGCTTCCCCCAGAGTACATCAGGCATATTCAAAGTGATGCAGTTTATTTACTTGGATTTTCGCCGCTTCTGTAATTCATGTATAATTTTGTTCATAATCGAAGAATTAGTGACGAGACGAACTTATCGTTAGATCGTTAGATCGATCATCGCCGGAAGTTCCACTAATAAACCGACGAATATATCGCGACAAAAAAATATTCGATAAGCTGCGCGAGATATATGTCAACTGGATTATCACGTGACATTCTTTCATTAATCATTATCACAGCGACAATTTTATTCAACTTTTCGATTCCGCAGCAACTACACGGACGAAAAAAATTTTCATGAACCGATGCGAAACATCTGGCGACTCGGTTACACACGTCCGAAGTTTTTCTCATGAATTAATTATTACGTGAAATTCTGCCGCTAATCACTCTCGTTCTGACTGTTTTCGCGCTCCTGCGTTTTTCCCGAACTTTTCAAACTCGCGCAACACAAATCCATCCGTGAAAAAAATTTTATTCGGAGCACACGGTTATAACCCGTTTACATCAGAATTTCTCTTATCTCTAGATTTAATCGTAACAATGATGCATCCCACGCGTGATTGCCAAACGCCAAACTTCGGGCATGTCTAAAGCGTAAAACTATTGTCTACGATTCCAGGACGGCCGTGTAAACTGTTCTTGGCACGCGAACCCGGAATGAAACGGAGCGTGACCGAGAAGATGCCCTCGCTCACGTTCGCCAATGAAGCCGATATTCCTCGTTCTTTGTCTCGCACGATAAAGATGATAATGCCGCCAAGGCTCCGACGTGTCTCGGTTCTAATCTACATGTTATTGGCTAGCTAAGTTGTCAGACGACAGTGAGATGAGTTTAATAACATAGCTATATACAAGATGAAAAAGCTAATCCCCCTCTGATCATAAATGTACATTTTTTCTTTGTTCGTATTTTGAGAAAATTAATTGTAAAAATATCTACTTTTATATATCGCGTAAAAATTTTGTAAGACTCGAATAGATAATAAAGTTATAACATTTCAACAAAAATACATTTGACACACGTGCTCATTTATTAATACTATTCATTTAAAATTTATCTCTGTGAACCTAAGACTCCTATCATCAAAAAAATGTTCGACTGTATGCCATAATTAAGTGCTCGTTTATTGCTAATTTATTGCTATGTTTTTCGAAAATGGAAGGGTAACATGAAGTCAGCACCCTCACTTTTGACATTAATTTCTTGCGAATGGGTAGAATAAATTCGCGATTAGAACAATAAATTGGCAATAAATGAGCACTTAATTACAGTGTATAATCGAACTTTCTTTTAGTAGTGAGAGTGCTAGATTTACAGAGATGAAAAACTTTAATATTTTATTTCTTCTTTACAAAATTCGTTCACCATTACAATGGGATTGTAAATATATTCTTTTTTATAAGACTTTGCAAATTTTCAATTAATATAATAAATTTGTTGTCACATGAGAAGTGCGCGATGCTTCGCTATCAATTAGCAACTATTAACTATGCTCTGCTTACGTCCGCCGTAATATTCCGCGTTTGCTGACATTACGTTGTGGTATTACATTAAATTAAATTATACATTATGCATCAGCCAAAGGCGAAATTACGGAGAAGGCGCGTAGCCCTGCGGCAAACCTCCTCAAGCACAACAATCATTGTTATTGCAGATCCGCCTTACCTAATGACATGAAAAGCCCTTTGAGACGAGAGATAATATGTTAATCCGGATAGTAGGTTGTAAGTCGACGTCCGCATCCATCCGCGTTATTCCCCTGTGGCACTTTCAAACATATACCTACAGGGCGATTCAGTTCCTGCGCGAATGCGAATTACGCGTTAACATTTCATAAGATTGAAAACTGAAAAGAAAAATCCTTTCATCGCGATATCGTGCAACTTGCACTTCGTGATCAATTCTGTTTTCTGCGAAAACTGCGTTAAACTTACTTTTTACATTGGTAAGCAAAATCGTAGAGCTTTATACTAAAAATTATTATTGTGCAATTTTCTCGATAATCGAACGACCGATCAAACGCGAATTGTTTTTATACTTTCCATTTACTCTCTTTTATCTTCTCGCATGTATCGCGGTTTACTTCACATTCCGCAGTGATTAATGAAAGCGGCAATTTAGATTAAGTCCATCGTTAAGTCCGACGTAGAAAAATCGAATTATCTCGGAAACGCGGAAAGAAATAGATTTTATGTTCATCTGCAATTTTATGCGCTAATTATAGAAAAGCAGAAATGAAACTCATCTGCGGTCCTCGCAGCGTCTGTCGAAAATGATATCGCTCTGTATAGCAGCGCGGGATAATCGGACGGACGCGATATGAGAGGACCCATGCCTTTCAATGGCGGGAACTAATAACACAACTCACAGAGAGTTTCGGCGACATACGCGTCTCTTGCCGCACCGTGGGAATTCCCCGTTGCAAGCCCGTCGTTAATAATTCATGTAGCTGACGCGATGCGATGTCTAACCGTGGATCCTCGAGTATATAAATGATACCTTTCGACGACGATCACGTAGCCGTGCGATGAGACAAAATCTATCAGGAATACCGATGCGAACGCGACCTAAAGACCCGCCGCCGTTACAATACTTCGAATCGGAAAACGGGGCTCGCCCGTTTCACTTCGCGAAAATATCTACGCATTCTGACAAAATTAATTTTGCATTTGCAAAGGTATTCCTGCAAGTAACTTATGATTTTGTACACTTCCGAATTGAAGCATTCCTCCTTTCGTATATACGGATCCACTCCAAATCCAAGTGTATAAATCTGTAGTAACATTTTACGCATTTATACGCGTGTTATATTTTTACACATTTTATCTGTGTTTTACACAATTAAATGCATATTTTTACACGGTTAATTTTACAATAATATGTGTAAGCGTGTAAAAAAATATGCATTCACTGTGTAAAACACAGATAAAATGTGTAAAAATATAACACGCGTATAAATGCGTAAAATGTGACTAGAGATTTACACACTTGGATTTGGAGTGTATCTCCTCGCAGAAATGTTCAATACTGAGTAGTCGTCGATATCTCAACTATCACAATCACCGGACGTATAATTACATTTCTGAAAGTAACACGCAGGTCGCTTATTCGTGCGTCGCGATTTCGCGAGTATATGTTAACACTCGAAATATTGAATGTCCGACAGTTCGACCGTTCTTCTGCCCGTTAACGTACGGCGCAGCCGTCCGTCAAACGTGTTCCGGAATTTCGGTCGCGGCGATCAAATTATTTCGGACGCAGCGTCTCGTCATTTAAATAACAATAAACGACCACCGCGCCACATACCTTTATGAGAGCGCGAAATTGGAAGAGAAGCGACCGGACGGGAGTATCGATGTCGCACGCGGTGACGCGCCGCGCCGGAAGCCGAACGCGCTAATTGAATCGTTTTGTGTGTCGTTCATGCCGACACCGGGCGAATTTAACGGCCGATTACGCGCTATGCCACTGAACAGGAACGAAATATCTCGTGCGTGCACACCCACGCGGATCGAACGCAAGAACGACGAGCACCTCGTTTCCGCCGCGAACTCGTAAAACTCGATCCCATTGTCTCATCGCGTCAAAGAAGCGGCAAAGAGAGTCACGTGTTTGCAAATTCAATTATCCGCCTGACTAAATTTAATTCAATGACATTCTTTTCATTGTGTGTCGTTCTAATTATTCATCGAACGTATTAACATTTAATCGCCCAATTTTATTTGCTCTCTCGCAAAGAAATTTTTATCATTTTTACTACAATTGTTATTTATTTTTTATACATGTTTCATCTATTTATCATTATATTCGAAAGGCATCGATATTGATAACATTTTATATGTCCATTACAGTGCAATTTTTAATGTACAATGTTTTAATTTATAATAAAACGTTTTTCAGATCATAAATTCGGCAATTAATTCGTTCCATGTATAGATAGGAGATAAAATTTCTAACATATCGTTTTTTTTTCGCTCACGTTACACGTCAGTATTTTAAATATATATAAAAATTGCATTACCAATTATCAGCCGTCAATCAATGCTCGCAGCATCATAAATATTTAAATGTATCGCTAATTTTTTCCGTGCAGATTACGCCGTATCACGGCATGTCGAGCGTACGTATTACTATCAATGCGAAACGTCACCCGTGTAATAATGCAAGCGAGATATTAGCAGAAATTGATATTAAACTAAACGATTCCTCTGCACGCTCGCACGCATCTGTGCACGCAAATTATGCGTGCGTCGCGTCGCCCCGCGTGGAGCTTTGATGCTACGCGCACACACACGAACCGCGCTATTGTGCAAAACATTTAATTTGCGATGGATTGTCGATAAAGGAATATCGTCGGATATAAAATCAAGTAAGCCAACCGAATATCGAGTAAAATTCAAAAGTCACCGATAATTTCGATGGCAGCCACTCGATAATGCCAATGATAATGAGTGATTTATCTGTTCTTTGTCACTCCACGTCGCTTGGCCACTTGAGATTTCGTGTACGATACGCGTAAAAAAATACCAAGTATGTTTTATACTTTTTTTCGACAATTATTAATAGATTATATTCGCGACATATACCGAGTGTCTTGGATCAACAAAAATACATTTTCACGAACACTGATCGAATTAATCTTTGCTTCACGCACGACGATTGTTCCTCTGTTTGCACTTTTCTTCCGCTTTAATTCGCAGCCTACGAAACAGACTGTACATATATCCCAAATCATATATATATGTTATACATCGAAAATTGTAACGGGCCGTGTAAAATACCGCAGTGCTTAAATAAATCGTTTCTCTTCTCTACCGCAATCTATCAGTGCGCGTCAGCCGTCGCACCTTCGCACGCTGGATAATTTATTGCAGTGTGTATCGGGCGGCCAACAATATAACCAATCTGACGGTCGGCCAGAATGCAGTGGCCGAAGCGCCAATAAATATGGATGGAGTAGTAATAAATTATAGCTGGAAAAGACGATTAGAACGCGGCTATAAATTACCGCGGATATATATCGCGAGCGCGCGACTGCGCCTTATGGCCATCCCCATATGTCCGATAATATGGATATTTTTCGGCCTTTAATCCGTTTAACCGCGAATATTCATAGTCCCCCCATTCGTTCGCTGCCGTCCGTTTTTAGCTCGTCCGTTTAGATTACGGTGTCCTTCGTGTGCCGTCCGGGCGATATCGTTGCTATCGGCAGGCATAGAGCTCTATATATACGATAACAATGTGATTTCTCATTTTCTGAACCAGATTACGCGAACGCGTTAATGCATTAATTAATATTCTTGCAATATACAGAGAATTCCAAATTTTCCACGTTCTATTTTTTTTTATATTCACAGACTTAATTGATCCGTCGCATCAATTATTTTAGTAGAAAAAAAAGTAGGACAAAGTTCAAAATTTTATGAAATATAAAATATCATACATTCGATAATATTAATACACTAAAAGCATTTTATTAATATTTCATTGTTAATATTAATATTTCTACTGAATAACAACTAACGACTAACAGAGAGTTTTTTTATCTATCAGATATTTATCTATGTAAAATAAAAAAGTTTTAAAAAATCAAATTGTAAAATTTGTTATCAATAATTTCCTTTCTTTGACAAAAATACGTGGAAATTAGTAATGACGTATATATTCTTATTTAGTGAGAAACTCGAGAAAATGAAACGCGTGGCCAAAAAGATCGCGGACGGGAAAAAAAATCCTTCGAGCCGGATTCGAACCAGCGACCTATGGATGTCTCTCTCCACGTGTTCAACTACAGTCCACCGCTCTACCAACTGAGCTATCGAAGGCTCCGTGAGTGACTCGTAACTCAGCCTTCACGAACAATCGTTACGACTTGGACATAATAAATAAATAAATAAATAAATTAAAGAAATAAACGCGAAAAGTTAGGAGTAAGAAATAGCTGCAAAGTATAGAGAAGTTATGCTTCACGAAAGAAATAAGAAATTGAATCAGAGGTGTTCTCCTTATTTGGAAACTAATTTTTTTTATTCCTAATTCCTGATTCGAATCTTTATCCCTTATTTAATCAATTGTTTTCTTAAACGTATCCTCGATATTTCCTTCCCTGATTCGTGTGTTACGTATAAGGAATTTTGCCGTATGTCCGTTATATACGTATAAGGTTATCTAATATGAAAGGTGACCACCATCGACACATCATGTACATATTTGTATACGAGCGAACGCAAAATTCTTGCGGAGTGATCACATTGCTCTACACATTGAAGTAACACGTGCAACCTTCACGAAGCTTATTTCTCTCACTCATACGCAAGCGTCCGTCGATCATGCGTGCGCTGACGTAAGCGTCCCGCTTGATTGCAAAATACATAATTATTCAATCTAAAAAAAAAAAACAAAAAAAAACAAATCTCACATTAGGGATCCCCGCTCGCGAAACGGAAACGCGATCGATTTCGGCTTGTCCTCCACTTTACGACACATCGAGAGAAGCTGAGGTGTGCTACACGGACGCGCACACAGCTGATGTTCAAGCAGGTAAAGTTAGGTAAACCAAATGTACGAGGCAGCCGCACACACGTTCGACCATTCGAGACGCGAACGCCGTGACACGTGATAGTTCCTCGCCGCGAGCCGCTCCGGAGGTCCGCGGCAGCGGCGGAGGGAACGATCGACAACATCGAGACTACGCGCAAGTTCGCATGCGTCGCACGCGTGAAAATCACGGATCTGGAAAAGTAGTAACGACTTACCGAGGACGCCCTGTGTATGTGCTCCGCAGCGTCGTCGACCGTCGTCCACCCTCGCCGGGCCGCTTGTCACCGCCTGCGCCGGACACCCTCGGAGTCGAGTCGTCACGTTGCGTCGCCTCCGTCGTACGCCTTCCGCGGGAGCCTCGCTGTACCCTCACGTTCACGCATATCACGCGCGTCCCGTCGAAACTCGCGGACGCGCACCACCAAGTCCGCGACACACACACGCAAGATGGTGGATCGCGACGGGGTCACGTGGCCCGCCGGCGTAGCCGCCGCCGCCGCGGCGAACAGGGACATCTGTCGGTCGCCGCTCGAACTGCGTTGTCTCTCGCGCACGGAGCTCACTTGATAAGCTTTCGCGCGTTCGCATCACTTCGCGTACGATGAATTACATCCGTAGGATGAATGTTTCCGTTACAGATGAAGTAGATATGCTTCTCGGGCCTTGATTTCGAAGAAGCTCTTTACATCGAACAGATGTAATGCTTACACGAAGTACACACGTACAATTCTCGGAGATGCTATCCGAGGACTGCACCAGCCTAAGAGAATTCTCTCTGGCTGCACTTTCATTGTCAAAAATTTGCAATCTTGATTGAAATCTCATGAATATCGGGCGAGCTTCTTCGTTGTATCTCGGAAGAAATATCGGCGAAAAGAATCCTAATCGAATCGTGATAGATTTCTCGGCTTTTTGCTACGATCGCGCGGAGCTCACTTGATATATCTGTCGCGCATTCCTGCACCAAACAGTATTATTCGCGATGAATTGTATTCAGGATTCGATTTTCCGCTACGAACGAAATAGATACGCGTTCGGAGTCACGATGTCGTAGGGATTTCCACGTCAGGCACACTCAAAGTATGAAAAATCCATTATCGATGTCGCGGCTCGATGTCGCCGAGACGTTAGCGTCTGCAGTCGCGCACGGAGACGCTTATCGATACGGAGATCGCGACACGAACGTGCAATAACGACCATACGCGACGTTCTATGTGGCACGATGCTTCGCGGAAAAACACTCCCGACAATTTCTCGCGCGCGGGATTCACCTTAGAACGATAAACAATCGCGAGAAATACGGAGCGACTCGGACGCGCGTTCGCGGTTCGCCATGGCGCACAATGAACTGCTCCGACTCCGGCTTGCCTCGAAACTTTTGAAACGGACCAATCACAGCGCGGCGTCACTGCGTCAAGACGGGCCAATAGAAATGCAGGGTCTCGCATTTTTGAATACAATTAAATTACTTGATATTTATCGGCACGATTGTTCTCGAAGAGACTTGAGATACTTCGACATGATCAATGTCACGCACACGAAACGTCCGCATTTTTTCACGATATGTTACTTCATTGATATTTAATAATCACTTGCTGTAATCTCTGGGCACATAATTTATGTTCCGGCAAATATTTTCCCGTGCTTTGGCGCGCGTTCTTCTCGAGTTATCCATCCATCCGCGCCCGGATTGCTCTTCTCGCTTCAGCCGCTTGTCTCGAGATGTCGTTGGTTATAAGTTGCCTTCCGAGCTACGCAATTCCCGCTGATTCCCGCAGCCCGCTAAAGTATCAATAAAATCGACAATTTTACAATTCACGATGATACTCGTGTCGGAGTATTGTACCCGCCGTGCCGCGAACGACACGTCCGTTCTGAAAAGGAATACACTCGACGTTCACGTCGAGTCAAATCCGTCCGACGCGCAGGAACGTCCGCGACGTTTCCGCGATCACGAACGCCCGGCGTGGAAAATTGTCCAGCGACGGAACGCGACCTAACCTCTACGCCCGCTCGGCCGTCGTCGCCGTTGCGCCTTCCGATCGCGCGGTAACGTTTCGCAGTCGCGCGAGGCTCGAGACGCGAATCAACCCACCGACCGTGGAAGATGCGATCCGCGCGGAATGGAGCAGAACGCGGGAGAAACAGATCGCGGGGAACGCGCGAGGGTAGAAGACTGGTTGGCAGAGAGGAGTGCGGACGGTAGGCAGCAGGAGACGCAAAACGCCTCGGCCGCGTTCTACAAGCGTGATGCTGACAGCACAGGTAAGTGAACGATCGTTTCTCCGCACCTTCCGTATAATTTTTTCGATCAGACACTTATCGTCACTCTCTCTCGTTTATCTTTAGTGTCAACGGGCAATTCGAACGAATTGCCAACGAATGAAATGTGGCTCAGAGACACCGCTACCGAGGATGTAAATTTGACATCGAAATCTAAGATGGGACCTGTAGAAGCTGTAGAAACTTATTTGTTAATAGGTACATTTTTACAATATATTTTAGACAAGTCTAATAAGGTTGCAGGAAAAAATACAAAAATATCAATAACTTCAAGTTATTGATTGACGCTCATGTTCCAATTTCTGTTAAATTTCATTACAATTGTGCGTTATTACAGGAGATACGGATTTACAGTCAACAGATGTGTCACAAGATCCACTGCTGGTACATAATGAGGATTCCACAGAAAGTTCAATCAAACCTAAACAGCGAAAGGACGTAAAGTCATTGAAGGAACATAAAGAATCTATAAAACGTCTAAAGCAGCCCGAAAATTGGAAGGTGAACATGAAGAAAAGTGCTAGATTAAAAGGGGAGGAATACATTGGAGTCGGAGGTAAATTGCAGAGACAATGAACGCAGTTAAGTGTTAAATTAACAGATCAAAAGAAAAATTAATATTTCGTGTATCTCAGGTAAAATAGTGCCAGCCAAAAAGATGGGACACCCCTGCGTCTGTCGAATGCACTGCGCGGACAAGATAAACGAGAAGGACCGCGAGGAATTGCACAAGGCCTTCTGGAGGACCTGTACGTGGCAACAACGAAAGCAGTATATCGCATTGTCCGTCAAAGAATCTCCAAAACAACGTACCCGCTTGCGCAACAACGTTCAGTCGGAGCGCTCTTCGGCGAGATGCCGGCACGTGACCTTCACTTACTCTCTCCTGTTGAACGGCGAATTCATCATTGTGTGCAAATTGATGTTTCTCAGTACGTTCGCGATATCCGAGAAGTTCGTGCGGCACGTGATGGAGAAGAAACGAATGTCGCCAGGTGGTATCATTGGGCCGGACCAAAGAGGTAGACACACGCCAAAAACTAAGAAGAGTGAGGATGTGAAAGAGCGAGTGCGCGAACACATTAGATCATTTCCGACCGAGAAATCGACGGATCCTAAGAATCGCAGTGGTAGATGTTACTTGGACTCGAATCTAAACATAGCTGCGATGCACAAGTCCTACGTGTTAAAGTGCAAACAGGTGGGTGTACCTGAAAGTGATATAGTGAAGGAGAGTTACTACAGGGAAATGTTTAAGACGGAGTTCAATCTCGGATTTAAACGTGCGCAAGCTAAGGAAAGGAAACTAATGTCGACCGTTAATTGAGATGAAGAATGCGAGAAATAGGTTCGTTAGTTGTACTAGAATGTAGAAATATATTTTCATACCGGTGCCTGATGATTATAAAAGCGACACTGATTTCAACATCGGAATTTACATATTTATTAATATACTTAGAAATTCGTTACACATTGGCATTACTTAACATTAAAATATAATATTAAATGATGTAATAATATATATATGTAATACATATTGAAAAGTATACTTTGTTCTATACATATTGAAAAGTATGCTTTGTTCTATACATTAAACTGATATTTTATTTTGTAATCATTTTTATCAATAGCTCCTACCATAAAAATTATTTAAATAATAAGCAGAACGTCGCATCAAATAATCTATATGGTATATACATAATCATCTAATATATAATAATATATTCATAATCAATAAAATTAAATAACATCAAAGAATTTTAACAATGTTAAATGTTAAATATTAATTTAAAAATTAACATTTAATATTAAATATAATATTAATTTTAATAGATTAGAAATATATGAAACTTCCTTATATCTTCTCGATAATTTTTGAATGTCAGTCTTAGTTAAGCATTAATTATTATAATTTCTTTATAATTATTTAAACTGTTAAATTTATAAAAGTACAATGTAGTTTTTATTTTGTAAATGCAATCCAAATTGTTTGTATCATATAAAAATAGCATCAGCTAAGTACAAATGCATTCAAAGCCATTATCATCATTTAATATCAGATCTATATTTTCGATTTTCCATTAAAAAAATTACTTCCAAATTAAAAGACAATCTGCTAGCACTTAAAATAATTATTTACAAAATTGTTTCCATCGACATCGCACCAAACTTCTAGAGAGACCAACAGTATATTTTAAACTGCAAATACAGTTTAGTATAATAATTGATAACAATATTCTTTAAAATTTCAAATTATCACAAGGTCATTATTACATCATTTGCATTAATTATAAAGCAAATTACCAAGTTAACAAGTCATTATTTTCTTTAAATAATTAAAAATATCGGTAAATACATCCCTTTAATTTAGAATAGGGATATCTCAATTATCATTCTAAAATCTAATTAAGATTTATGTCTTCAAATATTAATATCCTATCTCATTTGACTTTTTGGATGAATATTATCTACAATATTTTACAGATCCTCGTTGAAAAATGTCAATATTATAACGATAATTATTTGACTAAATAAATATCGTCGTTTTATCATTATATCGATTTATATTACCTAGTTTTTCTCTGCCTGCGAACTAACTTCTCTACATCGAAGTGTTGCCGCCTCTATAGCGTCGATTAATGCCGATCTTAAGCCATGCTTTTCTAATTGATGAATACCAGCTATGGTACAGCCTGCAGGTTAAAGGAAAGCGTATATTAGATGAAGGAAATTATGAATTTTATTTATTGTATATAAATTCTGACCTGCCGGTGAAGTCACATCGTCTTTAAGCTGTCCTGGATGAAGATTCGTCTCGCGTACCATAGTACCGGCGCCCAAGACAGTCTGTGCAGCAAGCTTATACGCGATGGGCCTAGTAAGTCCCATTTTTACTCCCCCATCGGCCATTGCTTCGATTATCATATATATCTAAAGAAATTTCCATTTCTCATTAAAAATGTTAGTCTCTTAAAGATGTGAATTAAATCAATCATGCAACACGAAAATTGCAACAAGAAATCTATAAAAATATCACTCTCCGTTTCTCTATTTTCGAAATTTAATTTGATATATTGCAATAATTATATAAAAACTGCAGATTATTCGTAATAAACTAATGGAACGTTTGCTAACGTAAGCAGGACCGGAGGCCGCCAGGGCGGTTACGGGATCGATGAAATTTTCCGGAACTTCTTCGCAGATGCCTACGGCGGAAAATAGCTTCTCCGTGATCTCGGCATCCTTGTCACTCGCGCATTTTCCACGCACAAACACCGTAGCGCCGCAGCCAACTAGTGAAGGTGTATTCGGCATTACTCTTATCACAGGTGTTTGTTTTGGCAACGCCTGAAAATATTTTCTCTGTAGTATGTTCTCTTCTTCCTTTGCACGATAGGCCATAACGCGTTAACGAAGTCTTGTTCGCTCGCAGAAATATTACCTCTTCTAGTGACGCCAGGGAGATGCCCATGGCGATTGAAATGACTAACTTTTTGTTGTCGTGTATCTTGAACTCTGGCAATACTTTCGGTACAACTTGCGGCTTTACTGAAAGGATCAGCACGTCACCGTGATCGATGACAGGTGTATTCGTAAAAACAGTATTTGATCCCATTTCCTGAAAACGTTGAATTAATTAGACATACAAATGTTTAACACTTAATGACACATTTGTCATACAGAGCGATACACTATTCGGGAATTGAAACTTTTTTTTTTAATTAAAATTTGATTAAACGTCATTTTTTTCATATAATTATCTATTATTTTTATCTGGACAAGCATCTCGAAATATTACATAATGACATCATTTTTATCTGACGAAACATGAAACTCTACTATCTGTCTATGTGTTCTTTCGACCATATCTGATAAATTTGACATCTAACAAAGTAAATACAAATAGAACTTAGATTCAATTCTAGAATTCGCATACGTGTTTTGCTAATATAAATATGAAATGTTTGAAAATGTCGCACGATCAATAGATAACCATCGATAAGCATGCAACACAGATGCGCGATCAGAAAATATACGTAAAACTATATCTTATTATAAAACTACATTTTTTTAGTGATGATTTATTTAACAGATATCGAAAGAAGTAATCCCATTAAAAAATTTGATCAAAAAGGAACACAATTATAATTCATCGTTATTCAAATATTTAATGATTTTCGTAATAAGTATTTTGATCAAGTTAATCTTCCAGTTTCAAAATTTCGCAAAACATTGTGCGATATGAAGCGCAAATATCCTTTCTCTTTGTTAAATGTTTTTAATAACAAGTATCACAAAGAATTCATCGATTATTATCGCCGATTTATCACGTTAAGACATTGCGCCTTATAACCCGCAGCATTCTTATCAAACAACAAACAAACATAAACAAAGCACCCTTCGTTCTATCTTCAAAATCTTTCTTACGTGACATCATAGTTTATCATCTCACCTTGAAAGTCTCAATACTCCCGATGTCATTTGGAAGGCAGCTGGCCAGCATCATTTCGCCTTTGCTTAAACCTGTAAAATGCGAAAAATCTCGTGGAAAAAAGAAAATGCGAAAAACATTCCGAGATACTTTTAGTAAACCTTCGTTGATCAAATTAATATAACTGATAGCTCGTATATCGTTAAAGCCTGTACATTAAATGAAAAACTATATGTCGTTAAATTTTACAAGAAAAAGTTATTTACCCGCCCGGATGAAACCTCTGGCGAGAGCCTGGGCCATTTTTCCCCCGCCGAGAAAACCGATTTTCAGCATGTTGGTATCGATGTTTAATGAGATCCTTGATTTCTTCACCTCGCCGTCCGCGAGATGTTGATCGCTCACTGCAGAATACGAACAGGAATAAAAATATCAGTTTTTCGTTCTATAATGCACATTTAACAGCTGAGCGAAAGAACAAAAGAAACAACTTCGACAATTGGTTTAACGAATCACGTGGATTATCTTACAATACGCGCAAGTCAAATGTATCAGTCATTTCGCGTACGAATAAACGGATTATTTAAGTTACTCTGCTCCTCTGCGTTTCGAAGCAGCAATCTAGTTGGAACGATCGTATTTACTGCTTCAGAATGCTGATACGAACGCGATAAGGCGGTGGCTTTACTACTTTTTATGTCAGTCTCTTGTTCAAACATACATCTCGCGCTTTCGCAATTCTGTCCATTTCTCATTGCGCATCATTCTCCCGTCGTCTTCTGCGGCGAGAATGATCCGTATTTTTTATATAATCTTACGGAAGATAACAACAATCTTGTGCGTCTTACGTGTCGTCTAACTTGGAAAACGCGCAACTGACCGCACCGTCAACCACCAAACTTGTTTTGTCGTTTAAATTGATTTGCGATACAGCCCCGCATAAAAAAACGTATATTTTTTGTCTAAGTATAGCGTAATAATAAAGAAGGTTAAATAAATCTCTAAGTATCTCGTAAATATTTATGGTATTTTGACCAAACAGATATTATTGTTTATGGTCACTTCTCACATAATGATAATTAAAATACAGTAGTTCTATTCTAAGATTATGACATTAATGTGTGTATTTCATTACATTTTTCATTTTAATTATATAAAATATACTTAGTATTTTTATTATAATTTAATGTAATTTAAATTAACATTTTGTACATATGCTTCACATGTACTTCGTAAATTCTTAAAATTTCTACTTATTTTTGTGAAGCTTCTAATTAGGATTAATTAGGCTTGTATAAATTTTTCATTTTTAATTAGCAGATTTGCACAATTTTAAAGAAATAGACAAAATAGATTATGTATTTTATATTTTTTATATATAATAAAAGAGAATTACGACACATAATATATATACATATATTATTTTCGATGAAATTTTTCTCGATAATTAAAGTCATGAAATCGTAAATATTCCTTAAGTGAATATAATAACTGTATTTTAATTATATTAAATTAAAAATTAAATGTAATTTTATTTTTAATTAATTAAATGTAAATTACATTAATAAAAGAAAAGATAGTAAATTAATTAATTTTACACGATATCTAATAATAATATACAATAAAACAACTTAAAATAGTTATAAGGCGATAGTTAATATGAACATTAAACGATCGAAACGGATATTTTTATCGTAAATGAAAGATATTACTCACCATACTTGCGCATGTTTAGACCTTGCCGACTTAATTTCACAAAGCTCATTGTTCTCAGAGCAGTTGCCATTTTCATGCTTGGTAATTAATGTAACAAATACGTGAAATTTGCGCAAGAGTTCCAAAAAGCTCCGTTTTGTATTGGATTTTTCTTCTTACTTAGGCAATATCATACAGGATCTAGAAAGAGAAATATAAGCACATTAATACTAAACCAATTATAATAAAATATTTTAATGCAAATTCAGTTGATATTCAGTTGATATGAATCTCGCTATATTAGTTACTCATATCGTCAGTCAATATAATAATGAGATATAAATGAAACATATCTACATTATGTTCCTTTATTACTCATGCTGTAAGATATTATATGTCGCAATTGGCATCAGAGATTTCGATCAATACAAAATAATTCCATCAAGTATCTATTACAAATTTAATTTTTCTTGCAATTGTGACATTCTCAATTTTACATTTTATTAATAGTCAAGAGAACATATCGTACAGATCAATTAAATTTTTGCTTTTAAAGATTAAGAACGCGTCGAGAACTTACCAATTTTCCTTTTGCATCTGATACAATTCTGATAATGATAAAGCAATAGATGAGATGTCACTGATAGGGATTAATTGACACAATCAGCTATTACTCATTCGATGGTAATCTGTAGTGTATGACAACGTACCCTCTGTTCTTCCATCATCACTAAGCATGCCCACTTTCGGTCGTCCTTTTATGTTTTAGGCACAGCCAGCCTATCTCTCTGTTATGGAAAACTACCTGTTATCCATGCACCCAATCGGAATCCAAATAAGTAATGATTCCTCCCCACTGTGTCGTTCGATATCTCTCTTTTATAATCCACCTAAAAAAAAAGAGCAAATAATCGATCTGTGATTGAGATTTGATTGCTTTAAGTAAAATTTAAATGTGAATGTACTATATTTTTTAGCATTAATATATCTAATTTTCTAATATTTTTTCTAATAATATTCTAATAGTCTAATATATAAGCCAATTATTAGTCCGATTTATACATCCAAAATAAAACGAACTACAGCTTAGAATCTTGAAACATAACAAAGTATTTAAATAATTCAATTCTGATTTAAATATCTTAAATAAAAATTATTATTTAACAGAGACAAAAGTTTGATTATTACAGTTCAGAGCTGCTACAAATTTTAATTCACTATTGATTGTTTATAATGTTTATAATATTGATCGCGCGTAATCAATATTATAACATTTTCACTTAATTAAGTTAATATCTACTACTTGATTTGCTAAACGTAAAATTATTCAGTCAGAATTTTTTTTTCCTTTAGTTTCCATCGAGTGAATAATTAGCATCTTCAATCTTTTCTTGATAGATATTATATAATGCCGATATTCATTCAGAAATTTTACGCAATACACGCATGGAGACACGGTCAACCAAATTAGAATAGAAATATTACGCAAGCGGCAAGGTAATAACATAACCTGCATTAACCTCAAAACACACGTACTCTTAATACGGCGTGTATTAAAAATTAATTCTTTAATTCTTTGGTTCTTTAATAATTATCATATTTGTTTCCAACATCAAATCCAGTCAATAATTAACAATGAAATAAAGTATTTATCGAATTAGATGATCACTTACTTTGTCCACATTACAAACACATCTCATCGTCGATCTAACATCATCTGACGTCTCATCCATAATGAAATCTAAAGAAAATACTTTTCTTAGCGTATTTACGAAATTTACAATTATTTTTTCGTTGCTGTTTTATCGTGATCAATGGAAAAGAATTAATATGAAAAAAATTAATGTCCGCGCATTATCACGTATGTACATACGTATAATAATTAATTAAAATTTTGTTTTTTCAATTTGATATCGTTCGTGATATCAAATTGAAAATATCAGATATCAGATTCGACATCAGTTACATACCTTTACGCGTGAAGATTTTTTTAAGCATATAATTTCGAGATTGTCGAGACGATTCATGGTGTTTATTATTTCAAATTTTATCACGTAAAGTGCTGACGATTGGCATCTCTGCACTCATTTATTCCTACGCAGGTTTGTCTCTAGTATTGCAGCAAATAGGGATTTTCTTCTCTTATTTGTAAAATTCTCGCTATCCGTATTATCGACGTTTTCAGCAAATGTGTTGCGTGCGGGACGTACAGATGGCGCTGCGGATATCGTCGAGACCAAGAAGCCGCAGACGGCCCGCAGGCCCCGCAGCAAAGGGATAACATGGTAATTTTTTACGTTACTTATCCTAGTCACGGCGCCTAAAGTGTGTATATCGCGAGTAATATTTGCACGTACTTTTACAACCGTTACAGTTACGATTTAACAATTTTATCACCTTATTATGAAGGCCGATGCTTCACAAATTAAAGCAGCGCACGGGACAAAAGATATACATATTATGCCAGTTGTACCGGGGAGCTAACAAAGGAAGCATATTCATCACTGATTAAATTCTTCAACATCTTCGTTTGATTCGAAGTCCGCGTGCTTTGCGATAAGAGACGTCGTTCACTCCCCGTCCAGAGTTCAAGAATTATATACGCTTGTATATCGCGCAAGTAAGTCCCGCGAATGCTCTTCTCGCGTGCGCGTTTTAACACGTAAACGCTTTCCGTTCGACGATCGTCAGGCTCTTTTCCCATAACTGTTTCTCAGTCTAGATAACTGCGAGATGACCGGGATCCTGCAGAGATCTTGAAACTCACGATCAGCGAAGTCGGCGGCGGAATACGCAAAACTGGTTTCTGTTCGAGGCGAGTGAAGGAAATTGCGCAAACAGAAAATCGCGATGAAAAATTAACTCTCGATCCGACGAACAAAAACTTGCACCTTTCTTTCGCAGTTTTTTTTTCCTTCGGCGTAATCATCGTATTATGCGTCGATCGTCAATAATGGTCAAAGTACAAGTCTGCATATTTTGTAATATAATACGAACAAAGTTCGCGTAAAATGGACTTTTTCCTTTCATGGGAAAAGCTCCATTTTATGCGAAATCCGTTGCTGTTTTATTAGATTGTTCGACTTCCTGCCTTTCTTTCCGATATTAGAAATATAATTAAGTCCTCACATCGCGCGGCATTTCGAATTCGCGCGATCAGTTAATGGATCGCCGAGAGAATAGGAAGTTAATTGTCAGTCCCAATTAATAAGCAAAATGTTGACGATGCGTCTACAGATTGCTAACAAATTCACGAGGAGTGCAATAATAACTAATAATAAATTTTATCGAAGTGCAAACAATAAGAGAACGATTTACAATTGCAATGGCGCAAGGTAATCCAGCATAAACAAACGGTGTGACGCAATGACGATTACGCAAACATCGTGTACAATTTGTACATTAATACCGCGATTATCAATAAGACGATTATCGTTTTATTTTCGAAAACTGTCCCTTATATAGGTGTACTGTTAGTGTGCTTTTATATTTAAATAAATAGACAAAGTATTTTATTTTATTAAGTTAATAATTTAACTTAATTAAAAAAAAATACTTTGTCTATTTATTTGTACCAGTTTATTTTTATGACTTATTTAAATATAAAAGCACACTAATAGGGACAGTTACCCTATCTTTTGAAGTATGATAAGCGGTCACTGTTTCATATGATCTTATCAAGTATTATGTTATCTATAATCTCTATACGGGATATTTTCGCGAGCTGATTATAAAACATTTTTTATTGTCTCAAGCTCTTTCTATAACTGTCTCGCGTTCATATTCACGAAATGATCGAGGATCAACGCTTGTATTCGTATTATATGTAAACCAGATGTAACGAAAATAAGAGCAGATAATAAGTCTGACTTGTACCGGATACTTTATGATAATTTATTATTATCGGGAATAAATAATCATACCTATTTCGAAACACGTATACTTTTGTCGGGAAATTATTTTGCTCGTTAGCTATTATTATAATACGGCGAAACGTGCTTCGTCATTCGTTAAAGTCTGCTCTAGATGACCTGGAATATGTAAATCAAATGCAAAATAAAAAACAATATTATCGAATACGATAGAATACAATAGAATCATCATGTTATTATCTACCGATCTTTTACGTAAACTTTAACGTTTAAACGTTTAAGGAATTCAAAATATGTAAAATTTATATATACTTAAAAAAAAACGCGACACATAAAACTGTAGATTATATCTTGAAATTTAAGATAATTTATGGAATATCTAAAGAGGGCTTACACTGTATTGTGAAAAGGAAAATGAAACAAGATAATTTTTTGCATTAATTTTTTCAAGCTTATTTTGCATTTGACATGTTCAATATGTATGACAAACAGATAAGAAAACGTAATTTACGCATATTCTTTTTTCTACCTTCATGAAAAAAGAATAATAGACGTGAAAACACACTTCAAATCAATGCCCAGAATTGGAAATTTTGGATAATATTTATAGTAGATTACTTATATTTAAG